ATGAAGGTCCCTCTAACAATGTTATCTCAGGAGATTCATCGAAACCCAGTTTTTCTTCGTATCTACAATACTTAGTTAGAAAAATACAGTAAATTCTCAATATGAGATGTATTCACCCAATTTCGCTTAAGGATGAGAACAACTTTTGGGAAAGCAAGGCTATGTGAAATTCAATGGAAACGTCAGCTTAACTTATATGATTGTGGGAAAATTCTACTACCAGTCCTTCATCACCTTACACGAAATAGGGTGAATACATCCCAGGAGGAATCTGCCGTCGTCTTTTGCCAGGACCCAACTTCGAACCACTTCTTCAAACACACGCCCACCCCAACTGCAATTGAGCTCACCAATCGCAGATCAAGAGGTTCTTTTACATTCACCTTTCATCACCATTTTCACGCTTGTTGGCGAATCAACGAACGAGTGAGTGATTCGGCGAGTGGATGGGTAGGCGAGTAAATGAGCAAATGAATACAACTAATTGTGTGAATTGGCAATGACCAATGAGGAGTTGAATGAACCGATGAAGTGAGTCTGTCGGCGAATAGCAAGACAATGCAGGGAATGGATGCAGCCCGAATGAATGCATAACCCAATGGGTGGCAGGGTATGTGGACTGGAGAAGGGTGAAAATGGTAAGGTGGGCAAATGAAATGGGATACCGACTGGAGCCTGAATGGTCTCAAGCTGGCCAGGCAGCCAAACACTGGGCCACGTTTCAGGTGACCGGGGCCCAAAGCAGTGGGTGTTCAGTTTTCCTGAGTTTCGTGGCACAACCTCCATTATCACACGGAACACACCTTCACAGAGTAGTCTCAAAAACAGCTGAGAACCACGAATAGGGGGCAAACATTTGCAGAATTATCAGTACGACGGACAATTTTATCTTCACTTTACGGGATACAAGACCGGGCGTCGACAAAGCAGCGGCTGAGGTGTATCTGTAAGGGTGCCTTCGAAACAGGTTTACGCATACAAAAATATATATATATACATACATAAATATATACATACATACATACATACATACATACATACATACATACATACATACATACAT